AGTTCAGAGGAATAGTTGCTGGCCTTTCTAGGGTTTCCCGATCTCTTGAAGGTCCTATTAAAAGGTCATAAAAACAGGATAAAGGACGAAAGTAAAAAAAAAAAAACATTTTAAAAGACTAAAAAGCTCTGGAGAAGGTTTGCTGGCTTTTCGAGGGCCTTCAATCTGTGAATGTATCAGTTAAGGACTGTTAAGGACTTCGCTACCAAAAATTAAAAGGTTAAAGGACAAAAAAACGTATGACACATTTTTAGAGATTTGAAAATGTCAGAGAAGAATTGCTAGTCTTGCAAGAGACCTCAGTAACTGAAGGGCTCTTTAAAAGCAGTTGAAGGGTCACTGTCAAAAATCAGAAGATTTTGTGAACTTCCGAGGACCTTCAGAACTCTTAAAGTGCTTTTTTAAGAATATCTTTAGAAAAATCTAGCTTCTCTCTCTCCAGAATTTTTAACAGGTTAAAGGAGACGAAAACGTATGACACATTTTTAGAGATTTGAAAATTTCAGAGAAGAATTGCTAGTCTTCCAAGAGACCTCAATCACTGAAGGGCTCTTTAAAAGCACTTGAAGGGTCACTGCCAAAAAATCAGAAGATTTTGTGGACTTTCGAAGACTTTCAGATCTCTTAAAATGTTTTTCTTTTTTTTTAAGTATATCCTTAGACAAGTCTTAGCTTCTCTCTTTCTATTTCTACAGAGGAACCTTTTGGGCTCCTTTCCTATAGAAACCCATTTAAAAGTCCTGCAAGGCTCTTTTGTATTGAAGATAGTCCCTAAAAGTCCCTAAAAGAGTATTTACTTCTCTCTCTCTCTCTCTCTCTCTCTCTCTCTATTTCCATATAGAAGATTCTCTGAAGGGTATCCTTTCTATGAAAGATTCTTCCGGGTCCCTTCCTTACATACACCCCTTTAAGAGTCCCTTCCACAAAATATCCTCTGAAAATTCCCTGTCATTGAAGATTCTCTGAAGGGTATCCTTTCTATGAAAGATCTTTCTGGGTCCCGTCCTTACAGACACCCCTTTAAAAGTCCCTTCCATAAAATATCCTTTGAAAATTCCCTGTCATTGGATGAAATGTTTCTATTGCACATAAGACCCTTTGAAAGATTAATCTCCCTTTCTCTCTCTCTCATTCTCTTTTTAACTCTATATACATTTACATATGAAATATCCTGTGAAATGACTCCTTTCTATGAAAGATCCCTCTAGGTCATTTCCATACAGAAACCTTTTTAAAAGTCCTTCTATAAAATTATATATGTTTCTATCATTAGACGACTTTTTCAAATGTCTTCGTCAGAATCCTTTGGAGAATTTCTAATGTATTTAAGAACCCTTGAAAGTTTTCTGGTAACCAACCAGAAAAAATGAATAAACATTTTTTCGCTAAAGTACTAGAAGATAGTTGCTGGCCTTTCGAAAACCTTCAGCCTCTTCAAGGCTCTTTTAGAGTGTTTTATTGAAGATAGTCCTTAAAAGAGTGTTTTTTTTTTCTTCTTTCTCTATTTCCTCTGATGGGTCTTTATTTCAGGAAATATCCTTCTAGGTGCCTTTCCTACAGAACCTCCTTTAAAAGTCCTTCTTACCATAAACAAGTAAAAAAACATTAAGTTCGGGCTGGCCGAACTTTTAATACCCTCCACTTTAGGGTAATGGAAACATTAGGACCCATTATGACCTACAAATACCAATTCTCAGACAAATCCGTGAAAAAATGTGCAAAAATCATCAAAATACCGAATATCGGGAGTTACAGATGGGGGCTATACCAAAACGTGGACTTATACATGCGATGTTTCGCCACCGGAGCTAGCACCCATAATGACCAACAAATACCAATTTTTAAACAAACCCATGAAAAAATGTGGCAAAAATCATCAAAATACCGAATATCGGGAGGTACAGCTATATGGGTGCTATACCAAAACGTGGACCTGTACATGCAATGTTTCGCCACCAGAGCTAGAACCCACTATGACCATAAAATACTAATTTTTAGACAAATCCATGAAAAAATGCGGCAAAAATCATCAAAATGCCGAATATCAGGAGGTACCGTTACATGGGGACTATACCTAAACGTGGACCCATATATGTCATTTTCAATACCAACCATCCTAGACACAATACACATTATTCTGCTAAATATTGACGCTCTACGTCAAATGATGTGGCATGTATCGTGATTTCAACAGACAGACGGACAGACCGACAGACAGACGGACATCGTTAAATCGACTTAGAATTTTATGCTGATTATGAATATATATCCTTTATGGGATCTACGACGAATATTTAGACATGTTACAAACGGAATGACAAAGTTAATATACCCTCCTTTCCAAGGTGGAGGGTATACAAATCCTTTCGTTGAAGTGGGCATGAAATGCCTTTTGGAGAGTCCTTTGAAGGATTTCTTATGTACATATGAGATCTGTTTAAACATATTCTTGCTTCACAATTTCAAAACCCCTTTAAACCCCTCTCTAAAAATCTTTTATCCATAAAAGGAACTTTTTAATATCGTGTTTCTTCCCAAGGTCCTTTAGAAACGTAGAAATCCTTTCCTATTCTCCCAATCCAAAAATTTTAAATTTCAACACTTCCTTCTTCCTTCAAAATCTTCTCCCGAAAAAAACACTCCCCAAAACTTTATTGAAAAAAAAAATTCCCGACACTTATTTTTGACAAGTTATGACGCTTGGTGGAGGAAAATAAAAAGAAGAATAAGCGGAGAGAGAGAGGAAGAGAGCAAAAAACGATGACAACAAGAATGTGACCCTTGTCATTGAAACCGCACAAAAGTGGCGCAAAAAAAAAAACAACATAAAAACAGAGATGAACAAAATCGAAAAGCAAAATAAAAAATCCTAAACCTGTTGATCTGCTGGGTGCTGTACTGACTGCTAGCCTGCCCAGCAGCAGGCCATGCTTGACTTTGATCATCAAAAGTTGACGATGATGATGACGACGACGACGACGATCACTATCATCAACCTCATCAGCAGTGTGGAGGCATTTAAATACAAGTTTTAGTTTTTTTTTTAACAAAAATACAACAAAATATGAGGGGTAGGAAAGGAAAAAAACATAACCAGAACAGATCCATCAAAATGATATGTTTATCATGCCAATGATGAAGGGCAGATCATTAAAGGGAAAACAATAATAATAATCCGGATTTAAATAATACCTCAACAGTGGGACGAGAGAAAAGGATTGGAAAAAGGGGAGTTGTTTCCAAACAGGAGTCAAGGCCAGGGTGTCGATATACAGACTTTGTCTAGAGAGTCTGTGTACAATTCAGCGGTGTGCACAGATCAGCTGACTGGCTGGCCAGCTGACTCTGTGTGCACAGATCAGCTGACTGGCTGGCCAGCTGACTCTCTGTACACACATCAGCTGACTGGCTGGCCAGCTGACTCTCTGTACACACATCAGCTGACTGGCTGGCCAGCTGACTCTGTGTACACACATCAGCTGACTGGCTGGCCAGCTGACTCTGTGTACACACATCAGCTGACTGGCTGGCCAGCTGACTCTGTGTACACACATCAGCTGACTGGCTGGCCAGCTGACTCTGTGTGCCCAGATCAGCTGACTGGCTAGCCAGCTGACTCTGTGTGCCCAGATCAGCTGACTGGCTAGCCAGCTGACTCTGTGTGCCCAGATCAGCTGACTGGCTAGTAGCCAGCCACTGTATCTGTCCACAGATCAGCTGACTGGCTAGTAGCCAGCCACTGTATCTGTCCACAGATCAGCTGACTGGCTAGTAGCCAGCCACACTGTATCTGTCCACAGATCAGCTGACTGGCTAGTAGCCAGCCACTGTATCTGTCCACAGATCAGCTGACTGGCTAGTAGCCAGCCACTGTATCTGTCCGCAGATCAGCTGACTGGCTAGTAGCCAGCCACTGTATCTGTCCGCAGATCAGCTGACTGGCTAGTAGCCAGCCATTGTATCTGTCCACAGATCAGTTGACTGGCTAGTAGCCAGCCACTGTATCTGTCCACAGATCAGCTGATTGGCTAGTAGCCAGCCACTGTATCTGTCCACAGATCAGCTGATTGGCTAGTAGCCAGCCACTGTTTCTTTCTACAGATCAGCTGACTGGTTAGTAGCCAGCCACTGTATCTGTCCGCAGATCAGCTGAATGGCTAGCTAGCCACCCGAATAAGACAGATCATCTGACTGGCTAGTAGAGCCACTGTATCTGTGAACAGATCAGCTGACTGGCTAGTAGCCAGCCACTGTATCTGTCCACAGATCAGCTGACTGGCTAGTAGCCAGCCACTGTATCTGTGAACAGATCAGCTGACTGGCTAGTAGCCAGCCACTGTATCTGTGAACAGATCAGCTAACCGGCTAGTAGCCAGCCACTGTATATGTTCACAGATCAGCTGACTGGCTAGTAGCCAGCCACTGCATCTGTTCACAGATCAGCTGACTGGCTAGTAGCCAGCCACTGCATCTGTTCACAGATCAGCTGACTGGCTAGTAGCCAGCCACTGTATCTGTCCACAGATCAGCTGATTGGCTAGTAGCCAGCCACTGTATCTGTCCACAGATCAGCTGACTGGCTGCCCAGCTGACTCTGTGTGCACAGATCAGTTTACTGGCTGCCCAGCTGACTCTGTGTGCGCAGATCAGCTGACTGCCTGCCCAGCTGACACTGTGTGCACACATCAGCTGACTGGCTAACCAGCCACTGTATCTGTCCACAGATCAGCTGACTGGCTAGCCAGCCACCTGAAGAAGACCTGTAAAGCTCGTCTCTGTCCAGAAGACCTGTAAAACATATATTTTCTCTTCTTTGAGCCACTGTTCATTGTTTTCATTATTACCTTGTTATTGAAAAGACAACACAAATCAAAATACTTATGTAAAATAGGGAGAAACAGAAGGAAAAAAGGAGGGAGCAAAAAAAAATCACATACACACACACCAAAGGCGAAAGAGATTATAAAAATTGAAAACCCAATCTTGTCAAAAAGACTTACCGAGTCATGGGAGTGGGGAGAACTGGAATTTCCATCATCATCACCGCCATGATGGCGGTCACCAACGGCATCATCATCATCTCCATCATGATGATCATCATCATTCTGGTCAACACCAATACAACTGTTCTTCCGTTCTTCCAAGCTGACTGTGGAAGCAGCAGTGACGGCGACATTATTAGCATCTTCGGCCTTCTTGTTGTTGTCTTTCCCCAACGTATCCGAGCGGAGAACTCCATCATCTTGGGCATCATTATTGGTCTGACGTGGTGATGCTGATGATGATAATGAAGTTGGGGACTTGTCTGTGGAGCTGGAAGGGGAGGGTGGTTGTGAAGCTGAAACAGATGATGTTGTTGTTTTTGTAGAGCCTGATGATGATGACATTTCGCATATTTGTGGTGGTGTATGTTGGTGTTGTTGTTGCTGTTTACCGATGACAGGTTCTGTTGTTGTTTCTTGCCTGCTGGTGGCCAAGGAGCTTTGCTGACCTGGGGAGGCGGGAATTGTTTTTGCATGGGATTTTTCTGGATGGGAATTTTGTTGTTGCTGTTGTTGCAATTTTAATTTCGACGATGACGGCAGCATAACTTCGGGTTTGTGAATATTTAAATTTTTGAATTTTTTACAATTACGCAAAGATTTCTGTTGTGATGTTGCTGAGGACGTGGATGAGGAGGATGGTGGTGCTGGAGGTGGAGGGGATTTTAAAGATTTTCTACATTCGTCGCTGATGGAGGATCGATCTTCCTTTTTCTCTTGTTGCTGCTGCTGCTGCTGCTCCTCCTTGGCTTTTGCCTGGCTTGTCTTAGGTTTATTGGAGTTGCAATTAGCCTCCACTTTGGCGCTTAAACTGGGCTTGGGAATTTTAATGGATGCCAGGGAATTTTGTGAGGTTTTATGGGTGCTACTGCCACCACCATTGTGTCTTTGACCACCTCCCATAGAAGAGGATGAGGAATTGCTGGCCTCACCATAGCCATTTGTGGTGGTGCGGCTACTACCACTGCTGCTGCTACTGCTGCCATTTCCCCGGGCAGAAAAATGTCCCCCCTCCTCCTCCTCATCATCATCGTCATCATGGTCTTCCCTTTTACCATTTTTATGTTTATCACAATTATTTAAGTGATTATCCTCCTGCTCCTCGTCGTCATCATCATCTTCGTCATCTTCCTTCTCCTCCTCGGCTGGATCTCCATTTCCCTGGTGCTGCTTCTCCTTCGCTTGCGGCGTTTTCGTTTGCCTGAGATTCTCCTCATCTTCGGAATTTGATGAGGATGAGGCTGTTGCTGTGGCATTAGTTTGGGAGCCCGATGCACTTTCTCCGGCCGCAGAGGAGGATCTGCTGTTGTGATGAGTTCCGCTGCTGTTAGCTGCTGCCCCTCCTCCCCCGCCTACAGTAGCTACTGTCCCCGGCCCTGAAGCTTCATTGACAGCCGCACTGCCGCCACCACCACTGCTGCTGGTATTCGGGTCTAATTGTAAAACACTTATTCGCTTACGATTTATCGATTTTGATGGTTTCCCGGGAAACTTGGAACGACCCATAATAATTTAGGTTTAGCATTTGGCGCGTAATTTCTTTTGCTTGCCTGCCTTGTTTTTGTTGCTGCTTTATTATGGTTGAAAGGTTGTTGTTGTTGTTGATGTTATTTCCTTTATTGGTTTCTTTAAAGAAAAAAGAAGGAGAGAGAAAAAAATGGAATGTTGTTGTAAGACTCTCACAGGATACATAGGGGGCAAAAACAACTCTCTTGAATTAATACAGTACGAGGATGATATGGGCAACAATGGAGAGGGCGATGTTATGATTTTTGGATAGCTTGCATTTGAAGGGAATTTTTTTTTATTTTATTTCTTTTTTTTTTTTTTTGAAAAATTAAAATTAATTTATAAATTCTACAAAAAAATCGAAATAAACTCTAAAATTTATTTCCATGTTTATGCAAATAATTGTAAATTTTTGTGGGAGAGGTACCAGAAGGGGTGTGCGATATCTACCATATTTACATGAGATCTCTGGTTGAGAAAAATATTTAGTTATACCAAATAGGAAAAGAATCGCTGATCTGTTTCGAAAGTTATGAGGGATATAAATATTGAAAATTGTGACCACTTTATGGGGGAGGTAAAGGAAGGAGTGGGCCGGTATGTATCATCTTTACACCAGATCTTGTACTAGTAGAAATATTCAGATGAGTGACATTTGAAGTGAATCAGATGCTTATTTCGCATTTTATGAGAGTTATAATTATTCAAAATTTCGACCCCTTTGTGGGGGAGGTACCGGAAGAAGTGGTCGGTTATATTCCTTCTTTACACCAGATCTTGTATGAATATAAATATTGGGATATACCGAGTTTGAAAAGAATCGGATGCTTATTTGGCTTATTATGAGCATTTTGGTTATACAAAATTTGGACCCATTTGTGGGGGAGGTACCGGAATCCAGATCTTGTGTTAATAGAAATATTGGGATACGCCGAGTTTGAAAAGAATCGGATGCTTATTTTGCTTATTATGTCAATTTTGGTTTTTCAAGAGTTTGACCCCTTTGAGGGGCACGTGCCAGAAGTAGTTGGCCGATTAATCCATTCTTACACTAGATCTTGTGTAAATAGAAATATTGGGATACGCCGAGTTTGAAGAGAATTGGATACATATTTCGCATTTTATGGGCATTTTGATTATTTGAAATTTTGACCACTTTGTGGAGGAGGTACCAGAAGGGGTGGGCCGATATGTATTATCTTCACACCAGATCTTGTGTTAATAAAAATATTAAGATATCTGAAATTTGAAGAGAATCAGAAGCTTATTTCGCATTTTATGAGACGTATAATTATTCAAAATTTTGACCCCTTTGTGGGGGAGGTACCAGAAGGAGTGGTCGGATATATTCTATCTTCACACCAGATCATGTGTAAATAGAAATATTGGGATGCGCCGAGTTTTAAAGAAATCGGATACTCATTTCGAATTTTATAAGAGTTATAAATATTCAAAATTTTGATCCCTTCAAGGGGGAGTTGCCAGAAGGAGTGGTCGGATATATTCCATCTTCACGCCAGATCTTGTGTGAATTGAAATATTGGGATACGCCGAGTTTGAAGAGAATCGGACGTATATGTCGCTTTTTATGAGCATTTTGGCTATTCAAAATTTTGACCACTTTGTGGGGGAGGTACCAGAAGGGGTGGGCCGATGTGTATCATCTTCACACCAGATCTTGTGTTAATAAAAATATTAAGATTTCTGAAATGTAAAGAGAATCGGATACGTATTTCGCATTTTATAAGAGTTATAATTATTCAAAATTTCGACCCCATTAAGGGGGAGGTAACAGAAGGAGTGGTCGGATATATTCCATCTTCATACCAGATCTTGTGTTAATAGAAATATTGGGATGTGCCGAATTTTAAAGGAATCGGATACTTATTTCGAATTTTATAAGAGTTATAAATATTCAAAATTTTGATCCCTTTGAGGGGGAGGTACCAGAAGAAGTTGTCGGACATATTCGATCTTCATACCTGATCTTGTGAGAATAGAAATATTGGCATATGCGAAGTTTGAAAGGATTCCGATGCTTATTTCGCCTATTATGAGCATTTTGCTTTTTCAAAATTTTGACCCCTCTGAAGGGGAGGTACCAAAGGGAGTCGGTCGATATGTTCCACCTTCACACCAGATGTTGTTATAGAAGAGATATTGCGATGAGTGAAATTTGAAGAGACTCGGATGTTTTTTTTTTTTGTTTTTTTAATGAGAGTTATAATCATTCAAAATTGTAACCAGTTGTGGGGGAGGTACCAGAAGTAGTGGTCCGATCTATCAATTTTTCATATCAGATCTTGTAGTGGTTAAAATATTAAGATGTGCGAAAATACAATCGGAGTTTTATTTCAAATTCTATAAAATTTATAATTATTCAAAATTTCGAGCCTTTGTGGGAGAGGTCCATGATGGAGTGGGCCGATATTGTCCATTCACACACCTGACCTAGTACTGATTCAAATATTGGGATTTGCAAAATTTAAATAAAATCGAATGATTCTTTTCTCTTTCTATGATGTAAAATATTTTCTTTGAAGATTTTGACAATTTGTTTACGATGTGCCACGTTTAAATCAAATCGGATACTCCCTTTGAGAGTTTTCGTGCACATCAATCAACGAGACAGACAGACAGGCGGAAACCACTGAAATGGATTTGGTCCAAAAAGACCTAAGATCTACAACCGTTATTTCCATGAGATACGTTTTGGCCGTATCAAATGATATATACCCTATGTAGCCATATCTAACTTTTAAATACTACAATTATTTTTCTATTTCAGTTGAAGTATTAGTGCTCTCTCTCCCTCTCTCTCGCTCTGTTTATATCTCACTTTTTTGTTGCTGTTGCCAAAATCAAGCTCGTACTGTATTTCACAAAAAAGTAAACTTTGCTTTTAATTTTCATTTGACATTTTAAGATTTTATACGATTGGTTACAAATATTCTTTATAAATTATATAATTATATAGAAAGTAGTTAACTTTTTCCATATGAATAATTTTTTCAATAATTTCACTTTCCGTTGTCAAATTTTAATTTCATTCTTCTATTTTCCGTTGTAAACATTTTTTATTTGTAACATAATTTTTATTTATTTTAAAAAATATTATTTTTAGTAATTTTTTTTAATTAATTAATTTTAATATAGCATTTTTCCCAATCTTTTTAAAAATTTTCAGTTCTCTATTTTTTTTTTAATTATTGTTAGGTTATTTTTTGGTTTTTAAATGGTAAAAATATATCTTTCATGAAACTTTTTGTTCTCTAGTTATTCAAACTTTTTTATTAACTTTCAAAAATATATATATTTTAGTTTCCCCTTCATTTTTTATTAACATATTTACGTTAGCAATGCAGTTTTTTTTATTTTTGTATTTAATTTTTCATTTTTTAAAGATGTTGTTTTTAAATTCTTGAAATTTTTAATTGTTAATTATTAGTTTTAAATGCTTTCAATTTTGTTTTGTCATTTCGGCAGCATGGTTTACATTCCTTTAATTCAAAATTTTTACATAATTTTCAAGTTATATTTTTGTTATAATTCGCCATTTTTTTTTTTTTTGTAACTTTTGATGTAAGTTTTAGCTATTAAATTTTTATTTTTAATCAGAAAATATTTCGCTGTTTAAAAAAGTTTTCATATTATATTATATATTTTTATGTTATTTTTAATTTATTTTATTTTATTTATTTTCTTAATTCAATTTTTATTTTCTTTAATTTTGGTTTATTTTTAGTTCATTGACAAGCTATATTTTTGGTTTGATATTTTTATTTTATTTTTATATTTTTTATATATTTTTATTTTATTTTTATATTTAATTTTTTTATACTTATATTGTTTATTATATTCTAATGTTTTTCGTTCGTTATTATGACATTATATTCGATTTTTACTTTTAACATAGACCACTATTTTATTATTTCATTTTTTATTAATGCTCTTTTTTATTTCTCTTGTTTTATTTCTTTTGTCCACTGAAAATCGCATTTTCTTACTAGGAAATTGTTATTAACTTTTATTGTAAGAAGAAATTTTTATTTGTTTGTAAACAGTTTTTTATTTTTTTGTATTGTTTTTTTTTTTTTAATTTAATTTTTTACAAATCGAGTTTTATTTAATTACCACTCTTTTCAAAATTTTTGTAGTTAATACTTCTTAATTTTAATTTGAGTTTTGTTGAGTTATAATCTTTCAATTCAAGATTTTACTTATATTTTTTTATTCGTATAATATTATTACATTTGTTAAATATTTTGTTTTTTATTACATATATTTTTTTTTTGTTTTTTTTTTATATGTTATTAAATTCTTTTCTTTATTTATTGTGTGAAAAATCTATTTTTTCAGGTTTTTTCTTGTTTTTTAATAATTTATTATTTTTATTATTTTTGCTATAATTTTTAAATAATATTGTTTTTTCATTTGTCACTTTTTTTCTTCTTCTACTTTTCGTTTTTGTCTTAACAATTCTAAAATTAATATTATTCTTATTTTAATTTTTTTTATTTTATTTTTCATATATTTTTAATTTTTTATTGTATATAACAAGAAATTTTTGTTTTGTTTTTAACAATATTTTTTAATTTTGTTTTTGTTGCACACATTTTCAAAGTTGTATATCTATATTATATTTTTATAATTTATATTAAAAAAAATATTCTTTTTAATTTTTTTTTTAGTTTATGAATTTTGTAAAATTTTTATTTTTATTTTATTATATATTTGTATTTTACTTCCAATTTTTTCTTAATTTGCCTTTTTTATTTAGTTTGTGATTCGATTTTTTATTATATTTTTAATTTATAAATTTTTATAATTCTATGTTTCTTTTTTAAATGTTTTTCTTAATTTGTTTACTGGTTTAATTTTTTTTTTTTACTGAATTTTAAAAAAAATATAATATTTTTAAAGTAATTTAAAATAACATTTATTAAATATAAAATTATTATTTCCTATTTTAATATTTGATTATTTGTTTTACTCATCCAGCATTTTATATTTTTTGTTTAGGATTTTTTTTAACATTAAAACATAATTTATTGTGTAGAAATATTTTTTATTATTATTATTTTTTTTTACTCTGGAAATTATTTTTAATGTTATTCTTTTTATAGTATTATATTATTATGTTGCATTTTATTATTATTTGTACTCAATATTTTTTAACATGTTTAGTTTTTAAATTAAGTTTTATTTACGTTTTTCATTCAAATCACTACAATCTCGTGTTTGTTTTTGTATGTTTTTCTCACTTCAAAATTTGTTCATAATTTTAATTTTTGACCACCATTATTTTTTTCTTTTATTGATCTCTTTTTTAGATTTTAAAATTTTCAAGTTACTTTCTATATTTTCTCACTTAATTTTTTTCAATATTTTTAATATATTTTGTTTTTCAATTTTTTTTTTTCGATTTTTTACCTTAATTTCTTCAATTTCTTGTGTATTTTTTCTCATTTTATTTCAACATTTTCTCACTTAAAATTGTATTTTTTCTTTGTGATTTTAATTTTTACCTTTAATTAATTTATTTATTTATTTATTTTTTTTTTTTTTTGGATCCGGCAATTCCAAGCCACTCATCACATTTTCTCTCATGAAAGTTATTTAATTTTTAAGTATTTCTTTTATTGCTGCCTTTATTTTTTTGAAGTTTTTGAAATTTTTATTTCACTCATTTATTTATTTTTATTTATTGTTTTCAGATTCACATTTTATTTTCAAGCCACTCATCACATTTTCTCAACTGATTTTTTTTTTTAATTACTGTTTTTTTTTTTATTTTTAACTATAATTTTTTTTTTTTTTTAGACTCGAATCACTTATCTTATTTTTTAAAATTTTATTAATTAATATTTATTATTTACCTTTATTTTTTTGGATTTTTTTCCAATGATTATCAAGTTTTTATTATTATTTTGATTTTTATTTAAAAATTCCTTATTGTTATTATTTATTCCTTTCTTCCGTCTTCGTATCAAACACGAAACTGAACTTCGTCATTACGCATACGTTTTCTTTGGCAAACTGAGAGTGAACGACTCCTTTTGTAAAGTTGTTTGGCGATGTTGTGTTTATTTCTGGTTTATTTCTTGTTTCGTTGTTGTATGGGTCTCACATACAAGAACGTTTCTCTCTCGCGCTCTCTTATCATAAGCCACACTCTCTCATCACAAATGTAGGAAGGAATTTCCCTCCCTGGTTTTTGGTTTTGTTTGGTGTTTATTATGGGTTATTTTGTGTGTGGTAAATATGGCTCTCTCTCACACAACGTCTCTCTCTCTTGTCTCTATCTGTGAGCAATTTATGCTTGTTGATGTTTGGTATGTAATGTTTTCAATGCAAGTCAGCCAGGCGGCAGATGTTTTTTTGTTTTGTTCATTCTTCCTCTTCTTCTTCTTCTTTGTGTGTTGTTTTGTGTCTTGTGTTATGTTGCATGACCACCTTTTGCTGTTTGCCGTGTGTGTTTGTGTGATTTTTGTCTCTTTCCCTCCTTAGGTCGGTTGGTGGGGTATTTTATGGCTTGGCTGGCTTGTTTGCCTTTGTTTTTTTTTCTTGTTAGTTTTATGCTTTTGCCTTAAATACCACCTTGCCTTTTTGTAATTATTTTATCACCTTTTTTATGATTCTTTGGCAAAAATGCATGAGGTTGGTGATGATGTTGTTGTTGTTGTTGCAAGGAGTGAGAGGTCATAAAAAAGAGCATGGTTGTTATGCTCTGTGTATGTTTTCGGTGTCGTCGTGCAAATTATTTTGCACGTGCTACCTTGCCGAAGTCGTGTACCCACACGAAATGAAAATGTAATGTGTTTGGCTCTCTCTTTCTCTGTCTCTAAGTGGCTTTTGCTCTCTCTTCAGTTTTTTAAATGGGGAGTTAAGTAAATATTTTCATTCAATTTGTTGGGGGCTTTATTGTTAGTGTTTTTATTGAAACTAAAGTGGTCTTTGCCACCACAATGAGTAAGTGGTTGAATGGCTGTTTGGTTTTCTTGTTCCCGTTGTACTCCCCTCTCTTTCTCTCCAATGGATTTAAAGAGGATTAGCTATGTTTTTATGATTTATTTTGAGAATTATGATTTATTTCCTTTATTGGAGCTGCATTTAGGAAGGGGGTGGGGGGATTGGTGCATGAGTGAGTAAGTGAATGGTGAGAGAGAGTACGTATTTTGCCGCCTTTTATTTATTTTCTTTATGGGGTTAGTAATTTTTGCAATTGATGCTGTTAATTTTTTTGTTTTTTTGCTCTTTACCTCTGTTGCTGTTGCAACTCCTTCAGATGATCGTGCTGCTGCTGTTCGTCCTGCTGCTGCACTTGTTGTTGTTGCTGCTTTTGATTGTAATTCGTATAGGTGTAGATGCTATAGTCTCCGCTGTAGTTGCCGCTGTAACTGTTGGTGAAATTATTATCGTAATTGCTGGTATAATTTTGGCTGTTACTGTAACTCTGGCCACTGCCGCCGCCTCTGCTTCTGTTGGCGTCACTGTTGCTACAACTACTGCTGCTACTGCTGGGGCTCTCTATGTTGTTGCTGCTATTGAAGTGTTGATGTTTGTTGCTACTGCGACTGCTTTTCGATAGACTGCGATTGCTGTTGTGGGACATGGGGTTGCTGTTTCCTGTTGCGGTTGGGCGCGAGCGGCAGGCAAAGAGATTGGCAAAGCGGCAAAGGTTTTTGTCTTAAATGGGTTGATGGTGTAAATACTATTCTTGTTGTTTTAATTACAACTGATGATTCATATTTTTTTTTTTTTTTTTTACAAGAAAATCAGGATTTTTTCCAAATTAAATTTGAATTGTTTTGCTTTCTGTGTAAAAATATTTCCATGCAGTCAAATATCATCACAGCATCCATCCAAATTTGCAGCAGCATAACATCACATCATCCAAAGTTTATCGTTTTTTTTTTTTTTGTGGTTGTCACAAAAGAAATTGGAATGAATGAAACGTACGAACGACGCGGCAACAAAGAAATAAACAAGAAAACGAAAAAAAAGAGAGAAAGAGGAAGAAAATCTTGTTTTATTACACAGTTTCTTGCAACGGCTTTTTCAATTCAAAAAAAAAACGTAAATGTGGAAAAGAATTTTCTTTTCTCAGCTTTTCTTTAAGAAGATGAATGAGTGGCAAGAGAGAGAGCGTGTGTGTGTATGCGTGTTTGATTGGTGGTATTTGGTGGTGGTGTTGATGATGAAGATGATGACGATGCCAATGTTTTTTTTGTATCCAAAACCAAACGTGTAGGTAGTGTTAAGGAATGGGATAGATGTGGATGGATGGATGATTGGGTGGTGGTATCTAGATGTTGTTGGTGATGATGATGTTGTTTTGAATGGAATTTGCTGTTCATAGAGATGTGTAGAATAATGTAAGAAATTGTAAAAAAAGAAGTTGAATCAAAAAGGGGGAGGCGGCTTGGGAGAAAAGAAAAATAGCTTGTTACAAATTTGAGAGAGAGCATTTAAGTCATGTCGATGACGTAGCTATTTTTTTTTTTTTGAAATAATGCCCAGACTTGGAAATCTATCTATAAACCAAACAAAAAAAACTATCCCAAATTATCCACAGTGGTCGTTAATTTATCCCTAAAATTATCCAAAAATCAGCTGTTTAACACAAAGAACAAAAAACGTGGAACTTTATCCAAAATGTGGATAATTTATCCGAAAAAATGTAAGATTTTTATCAGAAAAATAAGAAAATTTTTTTCAAAATTATCCAAAACCTGGGTAATTTAAGCAAATTTATTTAAAGCGTGAATAATTTATCCAGTATTATACACAAACGTGGACAATTTATTCAAAACTATCTACATTTCATACAAAAATAATCCAAAACGTAGATAATTTATTCAAAATGTTCTACAATTTATCCCAAGTATCCAAAAACGTGGATAAAATATCCTAAATTATCTGAAATTTATCCGAAATTATCCATAAATGTGTATAAATTATCCGAAATTAGCTACATATGGGGATAAATTTCCAAAATTATCCACAATTGACCCAAAAAAAAAACCACAAACGTTGGTAATTTATCCAAAATTTTCTTCAATTTATCCACAAACGTGGATAAAATATCCTAAATTATCTGAAATTATCCATAAATGTGTATAACTTATCCGAAATTAGCTATATATGTGGATAATTTTCCAAAATTATCCACAATTGACACAAAAATAAACCACAAACGTTGGTAATTTATCCAAAATGTTCTTCAATTTATCCACAAACGTGGATAAATTACTTAAAATTATACACAATGTTCTAAAATTATCAACAAAATTGGATAATTTATCCAAAAGTGTGCACAATTTATCCAAAATTATCCACTATTCATCCAAAATTATTAACAATTTATCCAAATTTATCCACAATTAATTCAAAATAATTAACAATTTATCCAAATTTATCCACAGTATATCTTAAATTATCCGCAATTTATCGAAAATTATCCACAATTTATCCAAAAATTATCCACAATTTTTCCAAAATTAATAGAAATTCATCAAAAATTATTAACAATTTCTCCTAAAGGTAGATAATTTATCTAAAATTATCCACAACTCATCCAAAATTATCCACAATTTATCCAAAAATTTTCCAAAATTATTCGAAATTTATCAAAAATGATTAATAATTTCTCCTAAAGGTGGATAATTTATCTAAAATTATCCACAATTTTTCCAAAAATATTCGAAATGTATCAAAAATGATGAACAATTTATCCTAAAGGTAAATAATTTATCCAAAATTATCCACAATTCATCCAAAATTATCCACAATTTATCTAAAATTATCCAAAATTTATCCAAAATTATCCACAATTTATCCAAAATTATTCACAATTTATCCAAAATTATCCACAATTTTTCCAAAATTATTCGAAATTTATCAATAATTACTAACAATTTCTCCTAAAGGTAGATAATTTATACAAAATTATCCAAAACTCATCCAAAATTATCCATAATTTATCCAAAATTATCCACAAATTTTCCAAAATTATTCGAAATTATAATTTATATAAAATTATCCATAATTTATCCAAAATTATCCATAATTTATCCAAAATAGTGGATAACTATTCATACAAAATTTTTAACAATTTATCCAAATTTATCCACAATTTATTCAAAATAATTAACAATTTATCGAAAATTATCCACAATTCATCCAAAATTATCCACAATTCATCCAAAATTATCCACAATTATCCACAATTTTTCCAAAATTATTCGAAATTTATCAAAAATTATTCAAAATTTCTCCTAAAGGCAGATAATTTATCCAAAATTATTCACAACTCATCCAAAATTATCCACAATTTTTCAAGATTATTCGAAATTTATCAAAAATTATTAAGAATTTCCATTAAGGTAGATAGTTTATCCAAAATTATCCACAACTCATCCAAAATGTATCCAAAATTATTCGAAATTTATCAAAAATTATTAACAATTTCTCCTAAAGGTAGATAATTTATCCAAAATTATCCACAACTCATCCAAAATTATCCACAATTTATCCACAAATTTTCAAAAATTATTCGAAATTATAATAAATTATAATTTATATAAAATTATCCAAAAATTATCCACAATTTATCCAAAATTATTCACAATTTATCCAAAATTATCCACAATGTTTCCAAAATTATTCGAAATTTATCAAAAATTATTAACAATTTCTTGTAAAGATATATCATTTATCTAAAATTATCCACTATTTATCCAAAATTATCCACAATTTATCCAAAATTTTTCCAATTTTTTTTTGAAATTTATCAAAAATTATTAACAATTTGTCCTAAAGTAGATAATTTATCCAAAATTATCCACAACTTATCCAAAATTATCCACAATTTATCCAAAATTATCCACAATTAATCCAAAATTATCAACAATTTTTTTCAAAATTATTCGAAATTTATCAAAAATTATTAACAATTTCTTCTAAAGATATATCATTTATCTAAAATTATCCACAATTTATCCAAAATTATCCATAATGTATCCAATAATTTCCCAAAATTTTTTGAAATTTATCAAAAATTATTAACAATTTCTCCTAAAGGTAGATAATTTATCCAAAATTATCCACAATTGATCCAAAATTATCCACAATTTATCTAAAATTATTCATAATTTATCCATAATTTTTCCAAAATTATTCGAAATTTATCAGAAATTATTAAAAATTTCCCCTAAAGGTAGATAATTTATATAAAGTTATCCACAATTTATCCAAAATTATCCAAAATTATCAACAATTTTCTCAAAATTATTAGAAATTTATCAAAAATTATTAACAATTTATCCTAAAGGTAAATAATTTATTCAAAATTATCCACAATTTATCCAAAATTATTCACAATTTATCCAAAATTATCCAAAATTTTTCCAAAATTATTCGAAATTGATCAAAAATTATTAACAATTTATTCAAAATTATCCACAATTTATCCAAAATTATTCATAATTTATCCAAAAATTATTAACAATTTATCCTAAAGGTAACTTATTTATCCAAAATTTTCCACAATCTTTCCAAAATTATTCGAAATTTATCAAAAAAGTTATTAACAAAATTATCCACAATTTATCTAAAATTATCCACAATTTATCCAAAATTATCCAAAATTTTTCGAACTTTATCAAAAATTTTTAACAATTTATCCTAAAGGTAGATAATTTATCCAAAATTATTCACAATTTATCCAAAATTATCTACATTTTTTCCAAAATTATTCGAATTTTATCAAAAATTATTAACAATTTATCCTAAAGGTAAATAATTTATCCTAAATTATCTACAATTTATCTAAAATTATCCACAATTTATCCAAAATTATCCACAATTTATCCAAAATTATTCATAATTTATCCAAAATTATCCACAATTTTTCTAAAAGTATTCGAAATTTATCATAAATTATTAACAATTTCTCCTAAAGGTAGATAATTTATCTAAAATTATCCACAAATTATACACAACTTATCTAAAATTATTCGATATTTATCAAAAATTATTAACAATTTCTTCTAAAGATATGTAATTTATCTAAAATTATCCACAATTTATCAAAAATTATCCACAATTTATCCAAAATTATTTACAATTTATCCATAATTTTTCCAAAATTATTCGAAATTTATCAAAAATTATTAACAATTTCTCCCAAAAGGTAGATAATTTATCTAAAATTATACACAATTTATCCAAAATTATTCTCAATTTATCCAAAATTATCACAATTTTTCCAAAATTATTCGAAATTTATCAAAAGTTATAACCAATTTCTTCTAAAGATATATAATTTATCTAAAATTATCCACAATTTATCCAAAATTACCAACAATTTTTCAAAAATTATTCGAAATTTATTAAAAATTATTAACAATTTAACCTAAAGGTAAATAATTTATCCAAAATTATCCACAATTCATCCATAATTATCAACAATTATTTCAAAATTATTCGAAATCTATCAAAAATTATCAACAATTTTTCCTAAAGGTAGATAGTTTATCCAAAATTATCCGCAATTTATCCAAAATTATCCACAAACGTAGATAAAAATTTTCCACAATTCATCCGAAATTGTACACAAAAATGGATAATTATATAAAATTATCTATAATTTATCCAAAATAAACCACAATTTATCCAAAATGATCCACAATTATCCAATTTATCCGAAATCATCTACAAAAATGGATAATTTTTCAAAAGTACTCCAAAAAAGGTGGAAACTTTTATCCAAAATTATTCAAAACGTGGATAATTTACCCACAAACATGAACAAT